TCCCCATGAGTTTTTTTAAACATATTTTTATTGATTTCCGAGAGGAAGGGAGAAACATCAATGATGAGAGAGAATCATTGATCGGTTGCCTCCTGCACGCCCCCTACTGGGGATCCATCCCACAACCCGGGCATGTGCCCTGACCAAGAATTGAACCGGGACCTCCTGGTTCATAGGTCGCTGCTTAAAGTTGATTGAGCACCCACTGTATTCCAGGTGCTTCATGTTATTCACTGAAGCTCTCAGCAGCCCTGTGAGGCTGTCATTACTGTACCCATTATACAGATGAGGGTTCCAGGGAGACGACCTCCCTGACTCACTGCTGGTGACTGGCAGGCTGGCACGAACCCGAGTGGTTTCCAAGTGCATTTCCACCAGCAAGGCCCCTCTCCTGCTTCCCTGCCAGGGATTGTCAGCGCTCCCTGGGCAAGATGTCTAGGGAGGAAAAGTGGATAGGGCACCGGATCAAAGCCTGGAGAGCTGGGTTTCATCCTGACTTTGGTAGGATGAGGTATGAGGAGAGGGAAGGGGAGGAGTTGGTTGTGTGGATCCCCTTCTGAGCTAGCTAGCTCAGCGGTGGGACTGACATTGTGGGTGCAGCAGGATGGGGGCAGAGGGGCAGCTCCTCATGCCACCTGGGACCAGGGAGGCACAAGGGCTGAAGAGGAAGTGTGCAGGAAGCCGCCCATTGTCTTCACTAGCAGAGAAGTGCAAACAAGGATCCGGGACGCTGGTGAACCTTGAACCCATGGCAAGGGCCAGAGCTATGCACCGATTGTCTAGTCCTGACAATGGGGGTTCAAGCTATTTCCTGATCAAATAGGCTCAGAGTAAATCCTTCTAATATTTACTGACCTTTAAGATAGTCTGTCTGTTACCGCAATTACCTGCCTAAGAGCTAGATGTATATCCAAAATTGAATAAAAGGTTGGCGAGACCTGGGCCCCAGTGGAAGTCCTTCCCCTTGAGTTGGGCTTGCCCGCCTGGCCCCCAATATTTCCAAATTATTTCTTGTCTCGTCTCTTTCATTGGTGTTCGGCCCCTCCTCCAGATCCTGAACCCTGAACCACGCGGGAGGTGGGGGAACATTCACAGAAGCGGTCCTCCTTAACTTCCTGTCCTTTTCCATGATGCAGAACTGGTCTTAGGCGAAGGCAGAGGGCACGGAGGCTCCCTCATGGATCCCAGTGTCACACACACAGGCCCCGCACACGGGGCAGCCTGGCCCTGTGCTGGGGAAAGGCTCTGTGTCACCACCCAAGGCTCTATTTTCTCCTTAGAGCAGTGGTTCTCAACCTTGGCTGCACAATAGAATCACCTGGGAATCTTTTTAAAATCCTGATTTCTGGGCCTCATCCTCCGGAAATTCTGTTTCTTTGTTATGGGGTGGGGCGCCCCACCCCATAACAAAGAAACAGAATTTCCGGAGGATGAGGCCCAGAAATCAGGATTTTAAAAAGATTCCCAGGTGATTCTAATGTGCAGCCAAGGTTGAGAACCACTGCCTTAGAGCCTTTCCTCTTGGCAGGGACTAGGTCACGGCTGCTGGGCTGTTTCCCAAGGACTCACCAGCGTGCTCTAGAGCAGGTCCTCTCTGGGCCTCAGTTTCCTCTTTTGGAAATTGGGCATTACAGTTGTCCCAGAGCAAGGTTGTGAAGAATAAAGTGTTAAGTGTCTGTAAAGCACCTGGCACAGTCCCTGGTTTTAGTCCATTGAATGGATGGACCAACGAATGAATGAGTGAAGCGGGGTACAAATGGGTCTCGAAAGACCAGCAGCACTCCTGGCGCTCGGTGAGCCCCCCACCGCTCTTAGCTGCTTCAGAGCTAGAGCAGGAAATGCTTTTTTAAATCAACTTAAAGTGTTGTAGGCAGGGAGTGACCTGGTCAGATTTGCAACTTAGATCATCTTGGGGCAGAGCCCAGTGCCAGGGCTCATGGCCATCCGACACAGGAGCTGCCCTGTGGACGGTGGCCCAGGAGGTGTCCGTGGAGGCTGAGCCAGCACCTTTGGTTTCAAAGCAGAGGGGGGAGCTTTACTGAGCCAGTCTCACCCCCTCCTTTCTCAGAGCCCCCCCCCCCAATTCCTGGACACCAGTGACCCCCTCGGCAAGTATCTAAAATATTCCCACCCGAAGCAGCAACCCCACCGATGAGGGTCTCGGCTAAGAACCAGGCAGCAGGACCCAAGGCCCGTAAATAGAGCTGACAGATGCCACCTCATCCTTGCCTGTGGCTGGGTTTTGTCTGGAGGAAGCCATGTTTAGGTGGCAGGGATTGGGGGGTGGGGTACACCCACTGCTGGAAAAGGACTCCTGAGCCCTTTCTCCCAGCAGCCATCGTGCAGTGCCATCCCTATTTGTTGAGCAACAGCCACGTGCCAGACACTGAGACACAGAGATGAAGAAAGTCGTCAGGTGGCCCCTAGTCTAGGGGGGGCCTCTGCTTGGGGCGGTGGGTGCAAGAGGCTTGGACAAAACTCAGAATCCCAGACAGTCCTGCTTGTAAGCACACACGGACATTCTTCAGCGCTGTTTGCTGTTCGTCCCCATTTAGAGGATAAAGGCGAACATTCCTTAGATGCTTTCTGGGGTAATGGCTATCCTGGAGGAGAGCCAAACTTCCGCTGGTTACACTGCCCCCTGCTGCCCCCTTCTGGGAAGAGCAGATGCTCTTTAATATGGCTCTGAATTCGGCTTGAAAGTAAGCCGAGAGGTGCTTACGGGACAAAGGATGCCAGCCCAGACTTTGTGGCTTGCTATCTGGGTGGCTTGGGAACGTCACTTAACCTCTCTGAACTTCATTTCTAAGTTGGGAATGATAATAGCTCTAACCAGCCTCCTCCAGGGACCCCACTATTCCATGCAAGCGTCATCCCACAGCTTGAAACAGGAATCACACAGAACCAGGATTCTACTACCCGTCCCCCTGGGCCTCTTGAACCCCCACCCTGCTGCCAGAGAGTCTGCACCAAGCATTTTTGTGGATGATCTCTTTCCCAGCCCATGAGGCCCCAGAATCCAGGACACACAGGTCTAGCTCCACAAACACCCTCCTTGAAACCCCTCTTATAACCGCACAATAGATGGGTCCGTGCTGCCAATTAAGCAGAGACAGGGTTGAATCAGATATGAACATTTATCCCAATACTGCTGGCAGCATGGGAGAGCAGCAGGTCACCCACAAACATCTGCTCTGCAGCCCCCCATAACCCAGCTGCTTAGATAGGGTGGGACAAGGATTACATGGAGAAGTAGGGATTACAGGCATGGGGAAACAGGAGGATGGTGGACTCCATTGTTTGGGCAACAAGGTTGTTCATCCTTCCATGATAATGGGCAGTTCTTGGATGAGAATGGACCACATTCCAAGGTTGACTCCCAGGTCCCGGGGGTGTACAACTCCCAGTCGGGTCAGAATGCCCTTTCTTTAACCAACACAAGGCAACCACGGTTCCCAGAGCATGGTTAGTATTTCCCATAACCATAGCTAGTCCCCAATATTCTATTTTTGCCCCTAACACTCTCACTCAGTCTGCAGAGGAGGGAGGCATCCCTTCCCCCCCCCCCCCCCCCCCCCCCCCCCCCCCGTGGCACAGCACCCAACCCTGCTTCTAGAGAAAGCCTTGTCCGCCGCCCAGCTGCTCCTGTTGGCCTCGCTCACGTTTCTGCCGTGGGCAGGAGGTGTGTGGTCTCCTAAGTTTCTAAACTAGATCTTAACCACCGTGGCTGAAAGAACTACTTCAGACAGCCCAGCACCTTGTTTTAGATTAGAACGTGGGTGCAGTTAGCAGCCCTGGCTGAAACTGAGTCAGAAAAACCTGTGTTTAAAAATAGCATTTTTGTTTTGAAGTAATTTCAGGCTTAGAGAAAAGTTGCAAAAACATCCTGTTTTCCATCAGACTTATTTATCTCAATAATTTTAGTATTCGTTGATGATTCTTGCTATAAAAATTATGACTATGCACATTGCCAAATTGTGATTTTTCTATTTCCAACATCCCTTCTGCATTTATTAGGTGGCGTTCTATTCTAAGGGAGATATTTC